TCGCCTTCCCGCGATCATCATGAATAGCTGAAACAATAATCGATAAATGTAAGCTCGTAGGCTTAGTGAGTTACCCCCAAAATACCAACGCCATACAGATATAACCATATCATATAAACATACAAGCAAACAGCATGCATAATAAGCCATCAGTCTGACTGGACCGTATCCCGGTCCTCAGTCTATCTGGACCGCCCTCCGAGCCCTCGGCACGTCTGGACCGCCCTCCTTAGGGCCTTCAGGCTATCCAGACCGCTCGTTGGGCCTTCGGCATGACTAGATTTGCCCGGTCCGGGCCTGCATTCTACCCGGTCCGCCCAGGGTGTCTTGGCCTACTGCACACAGCAGGACCTGCCTCAACCCTTTCCACAAACCAATAAACATGTGCACATAAATATCATACGCTAGCATGCAATAACAGATAGTTGTACAGATCTAACATATCACTAACATGGAAACCATCCTATAATGAGGATACCGATCAAACTGATCTCTAACATAGCAATCATCCTACAACCAGGATATCAATCTAACAGATTACTAGCATAGCAACCATCCTAAAACCAGGATGAAATCTAACAGATCAATAACATAGCAACCATCCTAAACCAGGATGTAAATCATAAAGGGTCGGCCTTGGTGCCGTAGACCCTGTTGATATAGTGAGGAGAACTCACCTTGAACGCCTAAAAAATCCCACAATTATTGTAGCTGCTACGAACCGGCTTCCACGAACTGAACCAAACAACCAGACCATTCTTTAATACTTACCCATGGCAAAACCACCCAACACTAATCCCATAAATGGTCCAACTAACCAAGCCCATATTTAGCCCAAGCCCATTGGGCCCAATCAAGGCCTAACCATATTGGACCCACTAAGGCCCAATTCATCATCCAAGGCCCATTAGGGCAAGCCTAGCAAGGTAAGCCCAATCAGAAGTCTATTACCCTAAAATCCTTAGTCCATTATGAGCCCAAACCAAAGGATAAGTCCAATACCAAGCTAGCCAACAATCAACGAGTCCAAAACTTGCACAGGAGCTGCTCACGTCGTGAGCACCTTATGCTCACGTCGTGAGGTCATGATTTCAGCCCAGAAACTTCCTCGCATAGGTTCTCACGTCGTGAGGCTTCATTCCTCACGTCGTGAGTCTAGATCTGACCAAAAATGAGCATTAAGCTCCTAATCCATTAAGACTTAACATGGGACAGTCTAGAGGGTCTTCCTTGACCCAAAGGACCATAAAAATCAAAGTTTTTTGGACATGCATGTCCAATACATGTCCCAACATCAACTAGGGCACAAATGAAGAAATATGGCATCAAATCTCATGTAAGAGTCATAAAACTCTACCAAACTTAAGATCTAGCCAACTATCACACTCAATGGACCCTGGAGATCCATAAAGTTGGCAACTTTATGGATTCCAATAACCACACCTACTTGGATCTAGAGAAATAAGCACCAAAAATCTATATCTAGGCTTATTGGCACATAAATCAGTGAACTTGAAACTCATAATAGGTCTAGAAGGTGTCAAAATGGATGATGGTGATGGTTGAATGCATAAATGATGGACTAGATGTTCTTCCTCTTCTTCTTACACCTCCAAAACTCCACCAAAAGTTCAAGAACACAAGGAGAGGTTAGCGTTAGGGTTTTACTGAGTTTAGGGGTGAGGGAGGCTGGTTTGGAACCCTAAAATGGAGCTTATGATGTTTAAATACGATGGAAACCGTAAAAGATCGTGAGCTTGGGTTGCAGCGTTACTCGCGTCGTGAGCTCTTAATGCTCACGTCGTGAGCACAGTTTAAATCAATATTTCTGTTTAATCGCTTCTCACGTCGTGAGCTCCAACTACTCATGTCGCGAGCTCAATTTTTTCCCAGATCCTTTCTAACTTCGAACGGCCATAAATTCTTCGTTTCAACTCCGTTTTCGACGTTCTTTATATCCACAGAAAGGTGACGAGAAGCCCTACACTTCTAGCAACTTGTCATAGTATTAAATCTTCCCGAACGAGAACTCAAAATTCATAAAGGCTCGCACTAACATATTACAATTATACCCTTGGGCTCCGAAACGCCATCGAACACTCGGACTACTTAGAATTCAACACCGTCATCCAAAAAAGGCCAACTCCTTTCTTCCCCAAGGACTAAAAATGACCTAATTACAATCGAGGGGTGAACTTGGACATACATGAAAACCGGGGTGTTACAACTCTCCCTCACTTAAATTCGATTTCGTCCTCGAAATCATCCTTTTCTATCCCTGGCAAGCCCGACATCCTGAGGAAGACATGCACAACCTTGAACATACCATGACCTTTCCAATGTGACCAAACCCAGTAGAAAGTTTACAATCTGAAAAAAACAGCTCCATAATCCCACGCAGCAAATCCAACTCTACTCCACCTGAAAATCTGCAATCTGAAATCTCGAATTCGGTCTGACTCCCCGACAGACCGCCCATCCTAACCATTTCTAATTCCATTACCCCTTATCCCCTAAACTGACTACTCATCTTTGAACACTTGAGGTTCCTACCAGGATACATAACCACCGATCATACTCTACTGCCGACAATTCTTTACTGAGCAACAAAAATTCAATAATCCTTCAAGAGAAAACTACTTCTGACGACAAAATTTCCGAGGATATGATGAACAATGGGAGACAGACTGGGAGATGAACCTTTTTGTGTCGATCGGCAATGCTCCCTTTAACTCCTGAACTAATATACCCATCACTGCTAGCTCATCACCACAAACTCCCATGACTGGCCCGATCAGCCTCGGGCTGGAATATCAACATGTCGAATCCAATAAACCACCAGGTTGAACTTCTTAGGGTTTGTTGGCCTACCGCCTCAACCCTACCGCTCCCCCGGAGCCTCCGTGCCTACAACTTATAGTTGGCCCGCACCGGGTATCTTGGCCTACTGCATGGAGCAGGACCGCCTCAACCCACCCAAATACGATGTGTTTCCATAAATAATCAGGAGAAAGATCTAACATGGTTCCCAAAACCTGAAAGACAAGGACATTCTAACTCCAACAACCCTCGATTTCACCATCGATGACGTCACCTTTCACCTAAAATTCGCGACTCACACCACAAACCAAAAGATTCCCCCACTTACCTCATTGACCTCCAGAATGCCTGCCTCACACTGATATACTTGCAATTCCCAACGCAAGTTTCCACTATAAGCCATCCCGAAGTGGCCATCCATGAATCCATCCTGAGTTTTTGAATGATGATACCTCAAATCATGCAGAAAAGTTCCTCAACAGGTTGATAGCGAACTTTTCCCAATCCGAATTCATGTAGAAAAGTTCCCCAACAGGTCGGTAAACCGACCCGCTCAAGGGATTAAGGTGCTGTTTGTTTTTTCGAAGCGAAAAATCATGAAGTATGCGGACCACATCTGCAACCCTCTGCAGCATAAGAGGTGGAACAAACGGTTGCAGCCTATAATAAGAAACATGTTTGTTTTTTAACATGTGCGGACTGCTACAGTAAACTGAAATTTAAATAAACTAATTTTATAAGCTGAAAATAGTTCTCAACACCAAAATTTTAATAATTCTAGTATTAAAAACATTGAAACAATACTAAAAAGAACATGTAAAAAAACAAACATATAAAACTTTAAAAAAAATGTAAAAGAAGCTATCAGTTTTATTCTAGAAAAAAACTAAATTTAAAAAACATAAAAAAATAATAATAATAAAATTTAGAAAGTATTGCAAACGATGTCTACAAAGTTCGTAAAAATTTACACACGTTAAAAAATATGCAACTGAAACTGAAAATATTATTAACAGAAACGGTAAAAAAGTTAAAAGAAAAATCAAAGTTTTTTTTAAAAAAATCAAGTTAAAAAAAATGTGGAAACTATACAAAAAATTGTATCAAACCCGTAAATAATAGTTTAAAAAATCAAAGTTTAAAAAAAATAAGTTATAGCAAAATATAAAAAGAACATTTGGAAAAAATGAAAGCTGAAGAGGTTTGAAGAGGCAAGTCAAATGCTGCGCCGCGCAGAACACGTGCATAGTTTTTATAGTCTGAAGTCTTCCAAAAAACAAACTGCCGTGAGAGGGCAAGTGTTGCGTGTGTGCTGCGCCGCGCATCAAAAGTGGTTTGAAGAGGTTTTTTTAAAAAAACAATCAACATTTAAATGTCACAGCCCACGCATGCATGCTTGGAACCACGACTCCTTCAAACTACTGGTGCCCAAACTTCAAACCGCTATGATACCTTCCTCCTTTATATGTAACGAGAAATAAAATATATTTCTAAATTTTTTTTTAAATTATCTTCCTATCTATATAAAATGTGACAAATGTCATATTTTAATAAAATTATTTATATTTTAAGAATTTATAATAATTTCACGATTTATAGAAAAATAATTAGATAGAAAAATAATTAGGAAAAAAGTAGGAGAATATTTAATTTCTATATTCAATTGAAAACATTGGTTGTACAAATTTAGCTAAAAGTCAAAGAGGTCAAACTAATGTGACTAACGGTTAACTACTGCCGAATCTTCCTAAATTATCTCATTAAAAAAATATGTATATTTATTTTTTGATTAATATAATAATGTTTAATACATCAATTATTTTAAATTAATAAAATAGGAAAAAAAATGTATATCTAAAAGTGGAACCAATTATTTTGGGACCACTAAAGAATATATATAAAAGAGAGTAGATGTAGCATGTTATTTTGGGACCACTAAGTAGATGTAGCATGGAGTAATTCTTTTTCAACGAAGTTCTGCATTTAATTAGAAGAAGAAACAAAATGCAAGTTGTTATGAACACAAGAAAACCAATTAATTAAAAATCATATAATATTCAAATTACACTACTTATTTAGATGAAAAATTCTATTTTGACTCCAACTTACTTACATAATCCATATTATTATGCTATATAAAGTAATTATATAATTCTAGTTTTTCTTGAAAATGCAAATATTTATAAATAATTAAGATGTTCTTCCCAATCCCACAAAGGTTGATCCATGACCTCCATAATTATAGAGTAAGAATTTGTAATATTCTTCTGTTCTGATGATATATAGCTATGATTATACGATGAACCCGTCGTCCTCTCTATCATCGATGATGTGGTTGCATGAAGAACGTTGTCGTGATCTTGATGGGTTTCATGAACTGGTCTTGATCTCACAACTCCTGATGGTCGTCGGTCGAATGCCCTCAAACAGTTTGATTTTATGTATACTCGACACAAACTCCAGTCTTGCATCAGCTGCATCACATATGACACAACAAAAGAAATAATTAGAATAACTAAAAGAGATATATAGCTTTATAAATTCTTGTAGATTGACTTGTTAAAACCCAATATTAATCTTTGTGGATGAACGCGCGTTTGAATCACACAATATTCGAAAATTTAAACAAGAACCAAACGAATACGTACCTCTGGTGTTGGATTAGTGTTTGAGGAGGGTTCTTCTTCAAAAGCCTTGTATTCATTCATTTTCCATTTAGTTTTCCTTCCGGTTGGAGCTCTACCATTATAGAAAACCATGGTTCTTTTGATCCCAATACCTCGATTACCAGAAGAGTAGACGATGCTAGGAGATCCAGTGGCCTTCCAGTACCCGGAACTTGTGAGGCGGGAAGTTCGTCCTCCTCTTGCTTCGTTCTCCTGTCTAGGAACGAAAAAGAACCATTGCTCAGGGTCTCCTTTACACCGCTCTCCTGCATATTCTGCTTTTTAATGAAGAAAGAAAAGATTATCATTAGCAACTGTAGATCATCATATATCATTACAATAAACATATAATATAGTTATCGAAATGTGAGTATAATAACTACGTGCATGGCCATTCCAGTGAACTTTATAACACCCAAAATTAAACAAAAGAAGAAACAAAAATAATGATATATTTATCATGATTTGGATTTTAGGTTCTAATCATGGATTCCTGGGAAAGAACTGCGATCGTGCATGAATGCTTCTAATAAAGAAATTATTGGATAAAGCCCTCTCACTCCCTGCTATGTTTCTGTACACAAAAGAGATAAAAAAAATACTGCTGGGTTTGTAACACACGAAGAGATCGAAGAGAAGAAAAGACGGTGTTTTTGGGCAATTTTCTGTGTTATTTCTTTAATTCCAAAACAGCCACAGAACTAAACAAATAAATAGCCAAAATCATAGTAAAATCTTGGAACTTCTACAACTAATTAGAGACTACTGCCAAACGTGGCTTTTTGCCAATTCAAAGCACTTAGAAAAAGACTAAACTACCCCTAAATAAAAACGTAAATCTGAACTAGATTTGATTAAATCAACAGAAATACAGTAGTACTAGGGTTTTGAGAAGAAAGAAATTAATGAAGGGAGTAGGAATTGATTGAAGTACTAACGAGGAAGGTCCCAAGGATAGAAATCATAAATATGAAACTGGGGAATGACTCGATCGATTTCTCGTAGTAATCTGGTGGTGCCACTGTTTTGTATCTTGTACTTCAGATAGAATGTTACCAACTCTTCTTCTGTTGGGTAGAATCTAAACCCTGGTCCTCCTCCCTCCATCTCTCTCTCTCTCTCTCTCTCTCTCTCTCTCTCTCTCTCTCTCTCTCTCTCTCTCTCTGATCGATATGGATATTAATCAATCACGTCTTTTTTCGTGTACTTTACTATGTAAATTGAATTTGCGAGCTGATCGAAACTTGATCAAAGCTTTTTCTGATCTCTCAAGCTATTAATCATGAATATTCGAAGGGGTTCTGCGTGCATGGTCGTCTTATTATTATATATAAACATGCGACTATATGTGTACGTGTGGAACTAGCTACTAAGCCGAGTAAGACGAGAAAAATGAAAACTTCCACTAGGAATTTCCTTGCATATGCGTGGAATCACTTTTGGCGTTCCCAATTAATATTTTATGGATGAAATTAATTAAAGATATATTCATGAAAGTAAATGAAGAATATATACTATTAATTGTGAAATCCGCACTGATAGATAATAAAACGGTGCTTTTAAAAGGAATATTTGATTGTCAAGAATTATAAAAATAATCTCTCCTGGAAAAAGAAAGTCATGGTTTCTTCAAGTGTGTATTGAAGAACGTCAGGAGTCCAGTTTCACACGTAACCCATTGCTTACTTTCACTCACTCTAATTAAGACCTAAACTAGTCAACTGAACCAAAACAAAAGCAATATGCATCTAGAAAAGGTAGCTTGTAGCTAGAGACG